TGAGTTTGGGATGAAGTGTCACAGAAGCAAGTTCAGGCATCTGGATCTATTAGAAGCACCAGCCTTGGTGCTCTCCTGAACTTGGGGAATTCTTGGGTGAGAAGTTTTTGTGTAGCAGGTACTGATTTTTCCGGGAGGAAACATCAAAGTGGCACTGAATCAGGTGTATAGAACAGTTCCTTAACACTGTGCCAGCCCTGCAGGGGAACACTGTTTAAAACTGTCCTCAGGGGATGCTGGACTAGATGTGTTTCTTTCCACTGTCTTAATCCCCTGTACCTGATTTTCTTTGGCCTCGTAAGAGATAAAAAGGTAACAGGTTTAAGATTGTAATCTATTTTATGCCATGATACCCCTTAAATAATTGTATTTATTAATTCTGTTTTTCATTCCTGTCAGATGCTGATGTATGAAACATTGATTCAGAGTCTAGCACAATAAAATGACTACTGTCCCACTGCCTGTCTACCCAGGGCAGAGCGTTTTCTTGTCCATGAGAAAACCACTGAAGGGCTCCCTAACCTTTATCTGGAATGTCTACACACTCCCTACTAATACTTAAATAATGATAAAAGTACTTTAGTTCAAATTTTTGCAAGTAGCTTTCAGAAACTGCTGAAACCCTTGTCTTTGTACAATGATCTAAATGCTACCCACTTCCATTGAAACAAATTCTTTTCAGGACTAAAGAATTAATCTAAAATCGTCTCTGAAACTTCTTTTCTCAAGAAGACAGAATTAATTTTAGACACAAAAATCCATACACATAATTTTAGATTCTTTAAGTAAACTGTTGAATGTGGAGCTGGAGTTCAAAAATTATCAGTTATTATTGCATTCTAAGTATCTTGACTAAGATTTAAATTTGAGAAACTGAAATAAATCACTTTAGGAGAGTAAATCACATGGTTCAATCCCAGCTCTTCTGTAATCATTTTAGATAGCAAAAAAAAAAGCTTACAAATATCCCTAGGAGAGGAGAAAACAAGATCAGCTCTTTCCTGGGATTGGCAAGGGCTTATTGTTGCAAACCCATAGCATCAGTTCTCATATGATGGGGAAGTGAGAAACCACATATAATTACTGTCTGCAGCCTTGGAGCCACTAGCTGTCTTTGTGTCTAATGTAAACTCTCTGCAGTTAAATCCAGCTTGCTCACATCTCACCTGTGCAACTGACCCTCAGTGACACTGTAGGGAGGTTGGACTGGACCAGGATCTCCAGGGACCCTTGCCACGTCAGCTGTTTTGTGGCCCTGTGAGGCTGTGATCCCCACCACAGCAATGAGGAGGTGCTGTCAGCAGCCACCCTGAGACAGCCCTCCTTCCTGTGCAGAGCAGCACCCCAGTCAAGCCCCAGGTCAGGAGGTCTCAGCTCCTTACTCCTGCTCTATCCCAGAGCCCAGCAAGATGCCTACCAGCTGCAATGGCAGGGTGATGGCAATATGAAGCATTTCCTGACAGTCTGGAGTCACTTCGTAGAAGCTCACACTCAGAAGAAAGATGAAGGTGGGGGGTGATAATTGTGAGATGCTCACCTCAGCATGGAATGCCAAGCTGCAGAGAAGAGCTGCCCCACCACAGTTGAAGCCCCATGCATTTCCTGGCCTGACCTGAGGGATCAAGGAGACCCCAAACTTTCTGAAGCCCAGAAAACACGGATTCCCAGCTGAGATGGGTTAAAGTTTCTTTCAGGTGCTTCTCCAGAGGCTAGTGCTGGTGCTGAGGGTAGCTTTACATTTTTATGGAAGAAGAGCAACTGCTTGGTGATGATTGGGCAGTTCTTGAGAACCATCTTGTTTGCTGTCCCTGCCTATGGGAGAAAGCCCTTTGCAGAGACTGAGCCACCATCTGGCCTTAATGAAATAGCTATGATCAGTATCTGGGACATACTGGTGAGACAGGGAAAACCAAAGCCCACAGGCTCACAGGCAGCATGATTCAAGGGTCAGAGCTGCACTGTGCTGGCTGGGTCATGGGCAGGAGACACAAGTGCAGCCAGAGTGATAAACATGAGAAACCCTCACAAACACTATAGGCTTTAGGAGCCCTGGCTTCTGGAATCCTGACTTGCCTTTGTAATAACATTTCCATGCTCCAAACATCCTCCCATACCCACCCACAGCAAACTACCAGCAGGAAAAACAGGCTGCACATCAGAGGTAGAACATTTGTTGGGATAGGAGGAGCTGATGTGAGTTTGTTTTCCATACCCTTTAAGACATTGTTAATCTGAACAAATACATTCCTGCCCTGAAATTACTTTAAAGAGCAATTTTACAGATTATATGCAGAAATTACCTGGGCCTGGCTGATCTAATTTATAAAGTTCTTTTATGTTCTTGCAACAAAAACAATCTTGTCATTCTCCTCTGTACAATGAACTCTGTTCAAAAGGATGTTAAAAAATAGCCTAACAAGTCGTTCTTGCTGGACATAAATTAAACAAACATAATTCAACTGCTGACTCATTAAATAGAAGCAAGAGGAAAAATTCCTGAACATGGAATGATTTGGAGATCTGGGTATGGCAAAAACACATTGTTAAATTTTATGCCAAGTGTGAGTCTGAGGAAATACCTATAAGGGAAAACACACTGGACAATGCAGATATTGCTGCAAATGGGCATTGGGGTTTCCTTACCCTGTTGCAGTCCACATCTCTCTGCAGTGAGAACTAGTTCTCATGGTATGTGTGACTTCACGTGAATGTAAATTTTTTTACCAGAAAGACTTCTTGAATGTATAAGTAAAATTCCAGACTAATGGAAATAATGTCAAAATCAAATGAGAGATCCTAAAAGCTTGATGACCAGGAGACAATGATAAAGTTTACATTTTACTTGTCTTAAATGAGTGATTTACCATCTAACTAGCATTAGGGAAAATGTAAAGCATAGTTTCATTACTGAATGTTTAGGCCAAGCAGATGTGGGGCTAACCAGTAGACATGTTCATGTTTTGCTATAATGGGATTATCTGAAAAAGGAAATTATAAACCACACTGCCATACCAGATGTGCTATTGCCTGATAGTTGCTCTTTTCCCACTTTGCTCAGGACTTATAATAGGCATTTTCCCAGTTAGGTCAGCCCTGTAAATTATCTTGTTAGAAGTCTTTTTGGGAGGATTTGGTGGAGACAGGTACTTTGCTGTACAAAAGTATTCATTACTATGACGTGTTCTTTTGCTCTTGGTTTTAAATGCAAGCCAGGCTTTCTGCATGCTCTTCAAAGGAGATGCAGCAGCAGATTTGGAAAGCTTTTCTTCATTTTCTCAAGCAGTAACACTGCAGCAGCCTAGAGGCCTTAGTTTGTTTCCATCTGCCTGTGCAGACTTCTAAGACAGATCAGAATGATTTTTTTATGCCAGCAAAAATCTCAGTGAGATTTTACTTTGTGGCCTTCAAACATGCTCAAGGAACATTATATCTGTGTAGACAGATAGATGGAAACTAATCCTACAAAGAGGGAGGCAACTTCACATCAGAACCCTGTATGACTTAATTATAAACTAGCATGCCTGAGTCAGATGTTTTCATCTTGAAAATTGGGCACATCACACCAAATACTTTTTCCAGAAATTTGACATGAGCAACATATGACAAACATACTAAAATAGTATTCTTTCTGCACTTGGACTATGGAAAACTCCTACAATTTCATGCAAATTAGTTTTATCTTAACAGTTGCCCTCCAATGTATGTGGTATGGGTTTCATCATGTTATTAATGAGATTAGTTAAATTGCATTTCTGATGTGCCTTTGAGCTACAGGTCAAAGGGTAATTGACTGCCAGTACATGACTGGCTCTTATTCCACAGCTCTTCAACTATATTTCCAAGGCAGATGACTTGGGTATTTGACCCTGTGATCCAGAGTAATCCACAGCAGGAGAAGGCCTTCAAGAAAGACAAAGCATTGCCAGTTTCATAGAGCATGAGAAGTTTTGGTTTAAGTGGTGTTTGTCGACTGGTGTTGTTGGTTCCACACGCACGTTCTTGGCAAGAGGATGTCCATGCTGCTATGATTTATCTTCCTTCCTGTAGCAATAGTCTTCATTATAATGGGTGTCTCCATTCACAGCTTCTTCACTATTGGCTTGCAGATACTTACCCTCGTTTAAACACTGAACATTACCTAGCATAGTTACTCTTCAGTAATATAATCCTACTTAGTCTTTTATTTTCTTTATTAGTTAGTATGCTGTCATTTGAAATGGTGCTACTTCACCCAGTTAAAACCAGATAAAAGAACAGAACATGAACTATTAATACAGGACCTACATACATGCTTGAAAAGCTTCCTGAGATCTTCAGTGATTATTTTATTATTAAGTCTTTTATTGCAGTAAACCTAGATGTCAGACCTAAATAAAGGAAACTTATTTATACTTTTTACAATAGAATTAGAGTAATAGGTCAACCTTTAAGGCTGCCAACACTGCAAAAAGATAGCCAGAGGCCAAAAAAGAAGAATTAGTTAAGTCTGAATGTATGAGTGGCTTTGGTTTTAAGAATGGTATCAATAAGTTGTACGCAAAATACTTCTTAGGAAAATGAAAATGTGGAAGAAATGTACAGCTAAATTGCAGAGAGATGGCTTTCTGCTTTCTCAAAGGTGTTCGAAATACTTGTTTCAATATAGAGGGAAGCCTTATGTTTTAAATAAAATGCAGACTGCTAAAGATTTGGATGGGTCAGAGGAGAAAACCTGGCCTATGTGTTTTTACAAAAAGCTATCAGAAGCTACAGTCCCTAACCCAAGGGGAATTTAGGAACATAAATAAATTGCGCCAGTGTCAGAAGTGATGAGTGTGTAGCATCTGACTGCGAGGAAGGCTTGCGAGCATACTGTAGCAAAGCACAAGAGCCAGGCAGTCTCTAAGCCTCTTGTAGTTTACAGCCCATTTCATACAGCTTCTCTGCACAAGAAATCGTGTAAGAGAAATTTAAAGACACAACTTCCTCCACTCAGCGTTTTTTGTTGATCCTCTTTCTAGAATTCAGAGCCAAATCAGAAGCTTACCTTGACAAATAAAATTTCCTTGTACGCTGTTGACTGTTCAGTAACTCGGCAGACTAAAAAGTTGAGCTCATGCTGACTGTACTTGGAGACAAGGCAGAGGACAGCAGCCTGATTTATTGTCTGCAGTAAGCTGCTTCTTCCAGTCTAGGAATGTGGTGTCTGAGGAGGCAACAGGAGCTCCTGCTGCAATTCACAGTACTTGTGACATGAGAAAGGTAAGGGCATGCTTTTTTAACAAGTGTTATTTTCTGAGTGCATAGGTGCAAAGTGGGCAACCTCACCTTTATGAAATGAGTACTCACACTTCCCCTTTTACATTAAACCTTTCAGTCTGCAAGGAAGCTCATCTGAAAATGCAACTGATGATGTGTTCAATGTGGAACTGAACAGCTGGATTTTAGAGCATTAATATAGTAAAATAATTTATTTTTGTATAGTTTTTTTTCTTTATATTAGTGATAAGTCAGCATAATGTACTGCAGAAGTACAATTACTGAATGGCTGCATTGGCGCTGCTATCACAGTTGATCTTTGTTTTACAAGCAACCAGTTCTATACAGGTTACCTTCACTGGTCTCTAGAATGTAATTTATCCCATGCTCTTTGTATGAACAACTGTCTTGGGTTGCAATGCAAGATGTAACCAAAAGTATTCTATTACCATCTGTTAAAACCAGGTGTGGCAGTGTTCTTTATCTCTTCCATGACGCTCCTCCCTCCAGGGGGATACCTTCTGTTAAGGGGCCATTGAGTCTCACTGCATGACTGATAAAATTACATCATCCCAGGGGGAGGAGCCAGGCATTTCTGTGTGGATGTAATCAGAGAGTTGGGACACCACAGTCAGCCTTTCTCCACCACATTCCCAGAGGAAATCCAGACCATTCTACATTACCACTGAACCTTCAGAGGAAAATGACACCTTTCTACAGGATCACTGCTTCAACAGAACCACATCTGTCACTCCAGGAGGACTGCAGCCACCATTTAATTGGACTGCTACCAACACCCTGACCAACAGGGTGTCAGGTTGCATTCTGACTGTCAGTGGGGTTTTTTTACTACTGCATTTTATTTTAATTTCCCTATTAAGTTGTAGGGCTTTTTTTATTTGCATATTTTTTTATATACATACTAGTGAAGAACTGTTATTCCTACTCCCATATCTGTGCCTGAGACCCCCTTAATTTCAAAACTACAGTAATTTGGAGAGAGGGGGTTTAAATTTTCCATTTCAAGGGAGGCTCCTGCCTTCCTTAGAAGACACCTGTCTTTTCAAACCAAGACAACAATTCCTCTGGGTAACACATTACAGTGTTTCTCTTCAGCATGTGCAAAGGCCACAATGACAGTCAAATATCAATATCATTATTTCTGCTGGAATAAAAAATAGTTCAGTTCTGTCACATAGAAGCTTTACCACCCATGCAGTCTATGACATTTTCAAAGTCAAATGATAATTCCAGCTTCCTAGTCTCAAGTCACAGGATGTAAACCCCCTGATCACTTGCACAGAGGCTAATTATTCCCTAAAAGTGTTTAAAATTTTCTGTAACAATTTTGAATTTAAAAAATTTGTGCTTCTGAGAACATTTAAATAAAGTAATTGCATTTTCAGCTGTATTAGCATGTGTGACAACACAGTATAGAAAACAAATCAGCCTCTGGTGGATAAAGTTCTAATAGGAGTTGAGCTTTAAAGCATTTCAGTGATTCTGTAGGGCCATAAAGAGAATTTAAAAGCATAACAATTTGGATTAAATAATTGTATCTTCAGATCTGTTAGTTATATATGGAAACAAGGACTGGTTATTTGCTCAAGGTGGGAAGCAAATGTGAAATTCAGCACAAGAAAACAGAAGAGGTTCTTTGTGAAATACTATCATAATTTAAAAAATTTGATGACAGACCTATACCCTACATATTTTCCTAACAGCTCTGTGATACTGTGAAACAAGAATCATTAAAGCTGAAAAAAGCAAGAAAACAGGCAATTTTTTTAATCAGGTGGTTTTTACTTTATGGCCTGGTGTAATAAAAATCTAAACAAAATTAGTCTTTCTGCAGAAACCATGTATTTCTCATGCATTTCTACCACATTAATCTTTTATTTTGATCTCCCTCTAAGACCCAGAGTGTCTCTCATGACCCTGAACTCTTTTTGGTTGAGTAGACAGTGGGCCAAGGGGCAGTGTGTGCCTTGGCTGGCTTGGAACAGAGACAGGTTGCCAACTGCCCAGCTTAATTCTGCTCCTGGGCTTTTGGGGTGCTCATCAGAAGACAGAATACCTGGCCCTTCTCTGCCTTCTTTTACACACAGTACTGCATCTTCCTTCTCGTCTTCCTAGAAACCAATTTTTATGAAATTTATATGGCATCAAAGTCACGGGGATTTCCATCCTTTTACCCAGCATGACTGAAGCAGGTCAACACATACAAAAAGTTACACAGATCACAAACATTTCCCCTTGGCAAAGCAATGGGTCTTCTAGCAACGCACAGTGTGACTTGTCCTTCTTCCACAAATACTTGCTGGCTCTCATTTTCAGTAGCACTGACTACATGTATGACAAACATAATCATTTTGCCATTTCTCATCCTTCTGGGCTTGTTTAGGCCCAGATGGTTTGTTTTATGTTTACTGGTCAGCAGCTATTTCAGAAACAAAAAGAAGGACTGAGATTATTCCCTAAACTGGTTAATTCTGGATTCTGTGAAGTTTTCACATGCCACTTACTGCTGCCACTGTGTAATAAAAATATTGAATTGCTCTTTTCCAGTTACACAAACTGACAGAAGACCAGGAGTAAAGCAAGCATTCATGTGTTGTGGGTGTGTGAACATACTGTGTGTCCTCCTGCAGAGAGATTAAAAGTCCCCTGCTGGGGATTTCTGGCATGCACAGATGCAGGCAAAAGAGAAGAGAAGGGAAATAACCCTGTAGACCTCTGCACTTTGGTGTCTAAAATCCTCTGCTAACCTATATACGCCTCACCCAGCCTGTATAATTGTATAGCTGCTCTCTACATCTGCAAATTCATATGAAGCAGAAGGAATACATTAGTGCGTTTGACTACTGGAAGGCAAAACTAAAAAAGTTTTTTGAGAACTCAGTAGTTGTTAGCAATCAAAAATGACAACATCCTTTTTGGTGTTTTGAATTAGGTTTAGGAAGGGATATTTCATTCCAGGTAAGTGTCCAGCTGAAGGAGCATATAACAGAATGTGCGTCCAATGACATGGTAAATTGCACTGAAGAGAAACTGAAATTACCACAAATCAGGTCTTCCTAACACTGGAAATTGGACTGAGGTGACCAATATGCAGGAAAGGCCTAGGTAAATCATCTTGAAGAGAGAAGGAAAAGGAAAGAGGAAGAGGAGAGAGAGAGAGAGAGAGAGAGAAGAAGATGGAAAGGCAGAACAGGGAGCTACTGTCCACAGATGCCACTGCTTTCTGGAAAGATGAACAACAGTGTTTTGAGGTATTTGAAAACGATAATGGTATGGCCTTTGCACAGTATTCTTAAAGCAGATTTAACTAAGTCCCTTGTGTGTTCCACCTGGATAGCACCCACAATCTCTTCTCATCATCTTTGTTGCAGTGCATCTGGAATTGTAGCCGTTGCTTTCTGGGACCATCAGGCATCTAATTGTGTTGGTGATATGTGGATCCTTACTTCACTCCTTAGTTCCCATTTAATGTATTTCTTTGTCCAGGGAACAAAGGACAAATCTGGGAATGTTTCTGAGAAAAAGCCAAGGCTTGCCCACAGCTGAGGGGCAAAGCCCAGACACTGCTGACCCAGTGAGCCATCTTTGTGCTGACAAAGAAATAAGGGAGGAAAAAAAAAAAAGCAGAAACAATACTGCTAATTGCTGAAATTTCCTTTTACTTCAACATGTAAATTTGACCTATATTGTTTGGATTTTACATTCACTTATTTTAAATGGAGCATGAAATATGGTCCAATATCATGATTCTGAAAAAGTTTCAGCTATGCATGTTTGCAAAGCCATTAAAACTATTACATCTTTCTACTCAGAAAACAAAATAAAATAGTAAACTAAAATATTATTTCAACTTCTGTACTTGAAAAATTCATTCTACAAGGCAGTAATGAAGCTGCGAGTTCATAAAGGGCAGATTTTTTTATAAACTATAATTCCACTTGTTTTTCTTGTATTAAAAAAAATTAGTATAACTATAAATGGAAACAAAACAGCTCAAGGATGACTAAATACAAAATAAGAAAATAGTCTGAAATATTAGGAAATTTTTACATCTTTCACTGAGTGATCTTAGGCTTCAGAAAAGACCAGTAGCAGAAATACAGCAGTCAGGAGTGTGGTTTACTTCACATTCATAGGGTCCACTTTGTAAGACATATGTAATTTATTTTGGCCAAAAAAGACCTGTTGTGAGGCTGGATCTCCTCATTTGCAGGAATGGTTATAGTTACAAATTTGGAGTTGTTGCTCCATGGTAATAGTTTGGATAGTTTGGTTGTATTTATTTTATATTATAAAGCAATATTATGTTATAATATATTATAATATATGATATGATATGATATGATATGATATTATATTATATTCAAATACAAATCTGTACTCAGCCTTGGGAGAAGGAACATCTCCACAGGGAGGAGCAAGACAAAGTGTAGACAAGTCTTTAAACTCATCCTGCAGAAATTTTTCAGAGATTAGACTGCATAATGGACTTTTATTTCCCTGGCATTTAGAGCAGCAGAGGTGACTTAGCTTCCCATGCTTTTTGCAGCTCCTCACAATTCCCTTACAGCTGGTTTTCCAGGCTCACAACTGCCAGTGATGGCAACACAAGGAATCATTCCCAGGACCTGCCTCACTGTGAAGAGATTCAGACTCTGGACAATTGCTTTGCTACCTGGAGTGCTGGACATGCATTTTGCTGTCTTCTGTGATATTTTTTGTAATTTCACTGGCCTGTTTTACTCTGTTTGCTGAAGCAAGCAGCTAATCTATGTCTGGAGGAAAGTGTCTGGTTCAGCAGTCTGCAAACATGCCAGTGCAGTGACTTCTGCGTTCCTGCTTTCTCTCAATACCTGCCAGTAATGCAGAACTTGCATATGCAATGCTCTCTTACAGTCTGGGAGACACTTTGCTACTGTTTTGCTCTGTGCACTCAGCAATTGCCCTCCCTTCTGAAATCTTTCATTGTTGCTGTTGTTTTTAATTTATTATCTACTCCATGAAGGATCCTTAGACTTGTATCATGGCAGTCTCTAACACAGAGATTTAACTAGTTTCTTCCAGTTCACCTCCCACACAGTGCACTGTGGAAACAAACAGCACACTTGCCGGCCTCCAGGTCTGCAGAATGAGTCTTCTCATTCTTGCTACAAACCAAACACATACACACTTTAATTAACATTAAAACAACCAGATAAAGTAAAACTCAGGACTCCCTGGCAAAACCACCTTTTGCTTCTGAGATCTAGCAAGAAAGAAGCAATGGGCACTGGATCCATTTATGTAATGACTGCACTTTTCACCATATTTTTGTGTAATGAAAATTAATTAAGACCTGCTAATTTAAACATTAAAACATTAAGAAATGCCAGAATAAAAATTTCTTGGGCAAGCCTAATTCCACCTCCACTCCCATACACACACTCTGTACTTAATGAGCCTTCGTGGCCTTTAATTACACTTCCAGGTACCATGTGGGCCCCTTTGATAATATAGAATACACGAAACTAGCAAGCTTGCCTATTTCCTTTTCCTATATTTCTTTATTTTTTTTTAATGTTATCAAGTTTTAGTGCTACTTGACAGAGGGACAGCATTCCTAACAGCAAGAAAGTTCCTGCAGTTTCCTGAAAACCTGTGGCTAAAGAGAGACAAGAACCTATTAGCACCGCAGCACAGAAACCTGCAGCGTCAGCAGCAAGCAGATGATCCATGCAGGTGGATATTACTAATGCCCCAGC